CACCTCTAGTAATATATTTACTGAGAAAAATGGTGACRCGTTCAATACTTATTTTATCTGCTGTATTATTAAACTACAGAGCAGGTTCTGTTTCGAAGGCTTTAATAAATGGCTGTGTTGACTCAGACGGGCTGCAGGTGAGCTGAGTTCACCTCTCTACACTTCAGATGTTTATCAGTGAGGTCCCAGCATTCAGCAGCGCAGCGTTAGACAAAGTCAAGCAGCTGCAGAAGCATCTCAACACTAACATTTCTGTCCGATTTTCTAAAACTCGGCTGCAAACAGATCTGAACCACTTGCTTTGGCAGTTTTTGATTCTATTCTGCTGACACGCGGCTCAGACCTGATCGGTTTTCCTCTGCAGCCTGACATCCTTCTTACAGAGAAACTTTGCTGCACTCCACAGAGCTAAGCCCCAGCTTTCTGCTAAATCCCATGTTTAAACAAATATTCATGTCAAGGAGCTTTTCATCCTCTCTGCTACAGTTTTCATCACTTTTTATGTCTTCTTTTGTTTCCCCCTAACCTTTACAAACAACTATTTATGGGCCGTAAACTTGAGAGATGGCTGAGAAAGTCCACAGAGCTGATGTAGATGTTGTCAGGGACCTGAGTCATCCTCAAAGTGAACATCAAGCCTGTTTATTAAGAAACATTTTACAAAAATCAAAGTTTGTGTCTCATTCTAACCAATGGGCTGAACAGAGGAGAAACCACGCCCACTCTTAAGTCTGTCACCCTCCTGGGGGGCCTCTGTGAGACCCTCCGATCAGCTGCAAAGCTTGTCTTTCAAGGTGAAATGAGCGAGAGAGAGAACAGACTTACACAGTCAATCAGAACTAAAAAAATTCTTTTAGTTTTTGAAATTTATAAAATATCTGCAACGATTGAATCTTTTTAACTTTTGTTCATGAATTCTTTAAGAAACTAACCTGGAAAGTTTTCTTCCTGTTTACAAATTTCATTTCAGGGAGTTCCAAATGCACTGTAAAAACTGTCCACCTAACCAAGTTTTAAAATCTTATATCCAACCAAAAAGTCTTTTTGATCTTGTTTTGAGACTGATTTACTAAACAAG